GTTGCACAGACAGTCTATTATTGTAAGAATAAATTATCGAATTAAGATTTTTAAACATTAATTTAAGTGAAAGCAAATTGTTCAACTTTAGCTTCGCGGGCTACTTTCAAAACCTTTGCGGTCGACCGCGGTCTACGTGTTGGCCATCCCTGATATATATAGTAGATATTTTTTTACAATACAGCCATATATATATATATATATATATATATACTTTTTTCCTTTCCTTTTTATTAACTATGAGGCTATATTTTTGATATTTTTTCCTTCTTTTCTTTCTTATTGGAAACTATGTTCCTCTTGGGATTTTCGAGAATGGTTAGAATTGAATCTAAAATAAAAGTAGTCTTTTTTCTGTATGCGTGTAATGTTTTTCAGTGTACTTTAAAAGATAAAAAATTTATTTGAAGATGTTTTTGTTGAAAAATCAATTAAATTTTTGTGCTTTTTTTTCTTTTTAACTTATACAAAGCTATAATTAAATTAAATCAACTTTTTAAAGCTTAAAACTATTTATTAAAATAAAAGAGATCGAATTAAATGAAATTTAAAAAAAATTGTCTTATATACAAAAAAAAATTAAAATGCTGTCTTTACGGATTTTTAATTAGATTTTTCTAAAAATTTAAAGGAAAAACATATCGATAAACATTCAGATGAGTGAAAGAATTTCTAATGTCGAATTTTAGTACAGTTTTTGAATTAAAATAAATACATAATCTCAATGAAGTGGAGTGAAGAGTATATCGATTTAATAATAATTTTTAGTTAAAATTTAATCTTAAAACGTTCATAAAAATTTAGTAAAAATTATGAATTAATTTTGATTTTAATGGATATAAACTACAATTAAAACTTAAATGTTTAAAATCCTTTACTGAAGCGAAAGAGAAAGAGAAGAGAGAAACCATTTACTTTACTTACTGCATAGAATATTCTTGCATTGCTCATCAGTTGATTTTATTGCTTTGCGCAACAGAAAATGTAATAATGAATTTCCAACAAATGTTTTAGATGTTAACGGAATGTCCGGGGTGTGTCTAGCAGTCTTAAACAAGCACCAAGACATAAAAGAGGAGAGTAGGGCAGTAAAACTTAGTTGCGAGCAAACCTGTAGAGAAATGCACCGTTAAACACAGTATACAGTTAAAGCTACACAAACATGCTATGGTATCGTCCTTATTTTCTGCTCTCATCGTGTACTGAATTCCAGAGAACGTAAGGTCTACTGTATGGCTGTTGAGCTAACAACGCTACAGGAAGATTCATTACGCACATTTACTGTTATCTGTACTAAGGTACAACAAATGGTCTTTCCTCGTCTAGTTGAATGTGAAGTGAATGAATTTCTTACTCTTGCAATGCAGAAGCGGATATCTTTTCGTAATTAAACTTGATTAAAATTGCTTTTAAGTAAAACGATTTAGAAAAGACTTCGAGAAGAAGAAGAATAACGAAAAGAAGGAAGAAGAAGAAGAAGAAAAAATAACATTTTTCATTTAATTTAATTTTGTATTAAAATGGTTACTTTCTCTTCTAATTTAATCATTTTTAATATCTTTAAAAAAAATTATAAATTCTTCTGAAAGTGTCATACTAATAATTTAATTCTTAGTAAATTTTTTAAAATTATTAATTTAAAAGCTCTTTAATTTTAAACTTATAAAAATTATTTATTCTATTTTTTAAAAAATATTATATATATATATATAGAAGAAAGCTAAGCTTAATAGCCTATATTTATTTGTGTGTATACAAGTGAGATAAAATATTGATATTAGGGAAAAGTTTGGGATAAAAATGACCTCTTTATCCAAGGTGACTGGAATGCTCATCAAGATTAAAAGAGTTGGCCAATTCCATGGGAAAGAAAAAAAAAGTGACAGCATTTGAATGGTGTATTCTATTGACATACAGTGAATTAAGGTTTGGTGAAAAGATGGTAGGACATCCATCAAATGGCAGAGTTGATGAACGCTTCGCTTTAATCTGTCAGATAAGGGGTAGTGGGTTTATTGTCAGTTGTCCTAGTCAGTCTCCCCAGAGGATTAACTCGCCAAATCCCGATGGTGTAAAATATAGTGATTTTCTCTTTGCGGATTTCCCGTTTTATTTGACAAATACTTTAGTCTAGGTTAGATTTACCGTTCTTCCTTTTCTGTTCCAGAAGATTTGTTTGATCTTTCTTTAAAATCCGAAACAACGGATGACATACAAATGGCTCCTTACACATTCCCCTTTAGTCTAACTCTTTTTCGTTCTATCTAAACTAAATCCTTGGATGTGTAGCAAAGTTAGGAATTTCTGCTTTTGTATGTTTACTTTATATTCATGAATTCTGGATTAGAAAAGAATAACAACTAGTAGGATGGGCCCTAACCAAAAACTTTTCTTTTCTACAATTCCTATGTAATATATCTAGATATTATTAATAGGAAAATTACATAAGTATGGTATTTACTTTCAGTCTTTTTTTTTTAAAAATAAAACTCTTTTCTTTCCTCGTTCTTTTTTCAATAAGCCTCTTCTGAAGAAAGACAGCAAGTTTCAGTAGAAGACAAGGATTATAATCCTAAACCACATTTGCCTGGAAACCAACAAAAGTACGGAGAGGGAAGAGGTATGTAACTTATGGTAATTAGATTTTCCATTCTTTTTTCTGTTAATAATTTTTTTTTAAATATTTTAAAATCCCTATAAAACATTGATAGCTTCTTTAAAATATTTTATCTAATTTTTTTTTATTTACTCGTAAAGTTATTTAAAGTTTATGTTTTAAAGTAATTAAGTTCTCAAACTAATTTATCGACTAGCGAAAAGATTGACGTATAAAATTGTAAATTTCACTTTTTAAAGAAAACGAAATTTATAAAAATTAATCAAATTTCATTAAAGAGCAAAAAGCAAAAGTTAATTTTAATAATTAAGTCTTTAAACTGTTTATATTAAAGTTATAAAATACTTTTTTTCCCTTTCTTCTTTGGTATTATTGAATTAAAAATTTAAATTTTGTGTTTTTTTTGGTAAAAAAAATAAAATAATCTGGAATATAAAGCAATTTATTGATTGATTTAAGCTTTAAATTCTACATTGATTAATTGTCAGAATGGAGGAATTAATTGATACAGTCGAGATTTTATTTTAAAAATTTAAACTTTGTATTGAAAATTTAAGTAAAATTATTTAAATCTTATAAAGATTATGGGTTTTAGAATATTTTAAATTTTATCCCGAACATATTTTGTCTTAAATTAGGTCATTAAACTTCTTGAGAATAATTAAGATTGTGAAATTTAGTACACATAAATCGATATAAAGAAATATATATTTTCTTAATTTCTATATAAATCGAATTATTTATAAACATTTCAGAGCATTTAGAACTCGATTGTGTTTTAAAAATTTCAAAACATATTTATTTATTTATTTTTTAAAAAAAGAAATATAATTATGAATTTACAACAGTTTATTTAATTTAATTTACAGAATTAACTTTCACTTTCTATTTTATATAAATTTCTTTTCATTTTCATTAAAAATAATTAATGAAATTGAATTATTTTCATTTTTACCATTACTTTTCAATGAAAATGAAATTGAATGATAAAATAAAATGAAAGTGAAAATTCACTTTTATTTTCACTTTCATTTTCACAAGTCATTTTCACTTTCATAAAATAAAAGTGAAAATGATTAAAATTTCATTAAAAAATTTTTATTTTTAAATTAATTTATCTGAAATCCAAATTCAATTCTATCTTAATAATGTATTTCTCTACTGATATAATTATCAGAGATAGGGCCGTCGAGAGGGAGAACTAAGGACTTTTCCCTAGATCCAGATAAAATTTACAAGCTTTTACTGGTTCTTATCCCTAAAAACAAAAATAAAATCTTAAAAATTTCATTAATAACGAAATTTCATTCGTTCAAAATAATTGCAAAAAGGGCCCCCTCTATCCCCGAGCCTCACACAAGCGCTCGAGGATCNAGAAAAAATTATGTAACTATGCCACTGCAGCTAGGAGATATCATAATTTTAAAAATATGACTGTGTCTAGAAAACTCAAGTTTGTGACTCAACAGATTTTTCCACCAAACTCTTTATATTAGTATCACTATTATTTGATGTAATTAATGCCATTTGTATAAACCTCTAAGTATGCAATCAATATTACAGTACAGTTCATAAAAAACTATAGTTCATAAAAAAACACCTATATAAACTAAAATTAATTTAGTTTGAACAACACTTTAATGAAAATGTTTGTTTAATTAAATAAATTATAGTGTTGCTGAAAAAAGTATTTAAGGTGTTCAAGTTACCACAATAGTATATTGTCTAAGGATATCCAGATGACTTTTGGATAAAAATCTAGGGAACACTTACAATTTCATCTGGTAATCTTGTTTGGGAGATTTGGCTTTCTTAGACTTTGTGATTTTATGGGTAAGGGCCACTTGTCTGGCCACAGTCACCAAAATGGGAGAGGGGATCAAAATTTGGAAAATATTAGGCTGTAATTTATGACATTCCCTGTGTCTTTGTTGTTCAATTATTAAATAATCGCATGTTTAAGATGAACTATTTTTTAAATCTACATTATTCATTAATTGGTTGCATTTGTTAAACTTAATATTTTCTATATTTTCTTGTGAAAAAAATTCTATTTTTGACTTGCAAGATGTCTCTCTCTCTCTCTTTTTTTTTTCTATGGATTATTAATGGAATCATCAGATTATCACTTAAGATCAACTAACCCTCCAATATGATTTCTGGTATCATAACAGAACAGATTGAGAATCACCTTAAGCATCATTAGCACTTCTCATAAGGAAACGGCATTTATACCAGGGGAGAAATGATTCTCAACAACATATGAACTTTTTCCCAATCAATGGATAGTCCACCTGCTGTGATCATAAGACCAACAGATGCGGAGACTTAGGTTTATTACAAATCCTTGATTACTCTCTTGCCACTTCCATGTGCCTATCTTCTTTCAACATTCTTTCAAATGGACTACATAAATTTTTATTGTATATTATAAAAGAAGACAATAACGTCTATCAATTTGTAGTAAAATTTCTTTAATCTCGTTATTGTCCGGTTCTAAGCGAGGAATTAAACATTACAAAAACTTAGTTTTATGTTGAAGATGTCATACTTAAAGGATAATCATTATGTAAAGTATAGTTAGTAAATTTTGTTTATCTTCTAGAAAATTTGATTAAGATATAAATATAATAAAGAAAAAAAATAGAAGTTAGTCTTTCCTACTTTAAAAAAAATTTTATAATAATATAATTTTCTTTATAGACAAAATTCAATTTTGCCTTTCTTATTTATAGCAAGTGAGTAGTTTTAAGTATCCAACGTCTACTTTAAAACATTATTATTATTATTTTTTAAAACATAAATTTGTTTCTATTCAAGAAATTAGAATTTTATCTTTAAGATAAACATATTAAAATTTGTTACAAAAGTAATTAACAAAGCATATAACTAATATTAATTAAAATTTTAACATTTTCTAAACGCATTAAGCATCATAATTACCAGACTGTAAATGCATTGAAGAAAGAATTTTAATACTTTTATAAATATTTTAAATTCTAGAAATAATATTTTTTAACAAGATAAATCTTTAAAACATTGATTTTTCTCTCTAGATAAGCAGTCGAAAATTATTTTCGACATTTTTTTTAAATAAAAAAAAACCTTCAAAAATTATTACGAAATGAAAAAAAAACCGACAGTTTTAAGTGAGTAGAAACTATTAGATATGAAAATATATCAAGAAAAATTTTAATACCCAAGTGCTGACATAATTTATTAGAGGCAATATAAAAGATTTATGAATTCACAAATTTCCAATTTCTCAGCCCATTCAGAATAACAGTTTTTACTTGAATGAGCTAAATAAAACTCATCCAGTCATAAATGTACGACTATGAAAAAAACTTAAGTTAGACAAAAGAATCCTCATTGATTACAGTTTAAGGACGATTATACACATAATGGCGTTAGAATAAAGTCTTTGTAGCTATATAACGCATGGCGTTATTATACTCAATGAAAACTTGTCATGAGGAAAATTAATCATTTTGAGAGAAGACAAAGTTGACAGCGATTCAATTGCAGAATCCTTAATCTTTGCAAGACTAGAAAATGGCTTCAGGATAAGAAAAAAAAAAATTACTTTATATCTATATAGCAAATACTGAAGAAATTAGATAGAACGAGGGAGAAGAGGAAGGAAAAAAAATTCATCTGGAAACAATAGAATAAAGACTATTAAACAAAGTGATGTTTAAAGGAATAGAACGTACAGACAAGAATAAGGTGACGAAAGCGTTGAGGGGTTGATGCTATGGTAAACGAGCACACTGCTCACCAACGTTACAACATATGCCACCAAGTCGATGAAGCAGTGGTGTCTGTACGCGAAGAAGACGGGTCGTTAGTCCTAATGGATTGCATCTCAAACCCCTCCTTTTCCGTGTTCTAGCGTGAACTTTATTGACAGCAGACGGAGGGTGTCTAAAGCATTTAAAGCGAAAATGAGTCTTATGCTATAAAAGAACTTTCCACCTTCTCCAGCGAAAATATCATCTTTTGCCATCGTTATGCGAAAGGGTTTTTAGTAGATACAGTATTTTAAAACAGGAAAAAAAATTTAAGAAAAAAATAAGGTAGAGAATTTCCCTTAGGACTATATCTATGCCGTTGTCTCAGGGGGTGTAGAAGAGAAAAGGGAGAGAAAGAGAGAGAGAAAGAGGGAGGGAGCGTGAAAAACGACTTTCAACTAGACAGATATTAATGTAGCTTTGTAACGCCAGATGGCCCTCCACAACCGGAAAACTGATAGATCGGAATTTGATACGTTTCAAGTGCGATAAGTTGTTAACAACGACTGATTTAGCCCAAAGCAATGTTACTTGTGCAGGCGTCATACTCGCTTGTCATCAAACCTTGTCAGCTCAGGTAGCGGTGATGTACGGTTTAAATTCGTTACTAAGGAACAAAAAAAAACCATCGTTTAATAATTTTTACCCAACTCCCCCATCCAGAAGAACAGAATCTTTTCACGATTTAAGTTGAAAATAACGATATCTTCTCTTCTCTCCTATTTTTTTCCTGCAAGTAAACATATTCCTCATCTCACTCTCTCTCTCTATATATATATAGGAATTTTATTTAGGATAAAATTGTTTAATATTCTATGAGTACGAGACATTTCTCTATCGGGACAACTCTACGCTATCATTATTATGCATTATCTGTAAAGATAACGGGGTTCGTGCAATTTTTTTAATGTTTAACAATTCACCTCGACGTGTATAAGTATAATGTCACATTAACAGCTATCAATTATGATAAAAAGATCGTTGGAAAAGTGTACGAATCTTGTTTTTTAAATGAATAATTATGTTTAAATTACGTTCGAATTTAATAAAATGCAATAAATTAAGTATAAATCGTCATTGGAAGGGGGTTGAGCATTATATGCGTAAGTTAATCTAATTTAAATGTTGAATATTTAAAATATTATCCTGCTGTACTGGAGTTACTACTTGCTTAAAACGTAACAGTAACGTAACGCAGTAAACGTAACGATAATAAAAATTAAAATATTAAAATTGTGTGATAAGATTTTATATAAATATTGTGTGGAAAATTATATAAAAAAGGAGTTATGATCTACTTTATCCGTTAT